TGAGTATATATCCCACTCGTCAGCACCCTTGCCTCCCCTTGTCCCTGGCCACTTTTAAAGGGCAAATCCCTTATTTGTAAGCAAGAAAGATACATATAGAGCCCACAAATGGATTGCTCAGAGTTCCTTTAGGGTAGAGTACAAGACCTGAAGGCCCAGGTTCCAGGAAAGGATGGGATTTGATGGGAGAGGAAAGGGAGAGAGGCCAGGTGTGTTTGGGGCAGGCCAGCCACAGGACTCAAGTGTAGGTAGCCTGAGGGGGCTTGTCACTGGGAAAGGTGGCCGCTGAGATGAGGTCAGAAGAGTTGGCGTGAGTGCCCCAGGCCTAACTTGCAGTTTGGCTGTGGCTGTGGGGGTAAGGGACAAACTGCTCTCTCAATGGACTGGCAGCCCTGGAAGCCTGTCACCTTGTGTCTCCTGGTTGAATTGTTACCTGTATGTTTCACTATGACTAATTCATTATGACATTTGGAAATTACTGAAAACTTAAGGAAGCAGAAAAAATTAACCATAATCCTTTTGCTCAGAGATAGACTGTTAGTACATTGATGTATTTCCTTTTTTTTTAACGTTGAGATTATACCCTATGTACTATTTAGCATGTGGTATTTTCATTTTAACAGTATAGTAATTGCATATTTTAAATAAAGCTTTGTAAACATATTTAATGGCTGAAGTAGCATGATTTGAATTAGTCCTCCAGATTGCCTAGATAACCTCTCTCCCTGCAGTGGCCAGGAGTGGGGAGTGGGGTGGGGAGGGTGTCTTCACAGACTTCCACTGATGAGAGGTGAGTCTTATCTGGGGGAGGGTCCCTGACTGAAGCTGGACCTCCTTAATGGCTCCTGCTCCGAATCAAGTGCATCTGAGTAGTGAAGACAGGGTGTGCCTGGCCGCAGCCTGGCCGTCTCCCTGCAGAGTCCTATGCCATGCTCCCAGTATTCTGATTCCATATGGCTGGGGGATGGAGGGCGAAGAGGGGATCCAGGAATAGGATGCATCCTAAAGCTGCTTAAGGGGCTGTACGCTGGTCTGTGCCACTGTTCCTAGAGTGGTTCAAACTGTTCTTGGAAGAAGCACCGTGCCTTTGTCGGGCAGCATCACTGAACTTGCTCTCCAGTGTCTCGGAGAAGATGGGGAGGCCTAGAGTGGGGAGACAACCAGGGATGGGGGGAGAATGTGAGAGAGCTGTAAGGTCCCAAGCTAGGAGGCTTGGGCTCTGGAGCCTTTTTTCTCAGCTGGAGGCAGTTTTGTTCCCCAGGGGCCATTGGCAATGTCTGAAGACATTTTTGGTTATCACAGCTGGGGGAAAGGGGGGTGGTTCTATTGTGTCTGGTGGGTAGAGGCTGGGGATGCTGCTAAACCTCCTGCATGCACTGGACAGCCCCACGATAAAGTCCTAGTCTTCCCAAAATGACAAGAATGCCAGGATGGAGAAACCCTTTTCCAGACTGTTTGGAGAGGGGAGGGAATGGGGCGGAGGAAGGGTCCCCAGTTCACCTAAGCGATTGGGTGACTGTTTACCTGAGGCTGCTCTGGGTTGAGCCATTTCTCCCCCCAGCCTTACTTCACAGGCATCGTTTTTCTGGCCCCATTTCCTAGGTAGGTAAACTTGACACTCAGCAAGGGAATGGGCTCGTCTTCCCTTGTTCACAGTCAGCCTCCCTCAGGATACCCAAGTGTCGTCCATGTCACCAAGTCCTTCTTACAGACTTACTTTTGGGGCCAAGAGGACTCTGTCTATCCCCCTAAGTAGGACAAGGGTGGCTCCCGTTTTCTAGAGGAGAGTGGCAGCAGTCACGCGTGAGGCTATCCTCCTGGTGCAGAGCCGACTGCCTGCCGCCAGCCCTGCTGCTCGATAGGGTAGCCAGGTGGGTGGGCAGTGGACGGTCTGCAGCCCTACCCAGGGCTACCTGGCTTCAGTGTGCAGATGTAAAGTATGACCCATGACCATGAGCAGGGCAGAGGTCATTGAGCCTATGAGGGTCATGGTTTTGCTGCAACCACACAGTGCTATTGCCATTCATCCAGTCACCAAGACCCAGGCAGCCTGTGTCGCGGTGAGGGAAGGACAGAGCAGGCAGGCTCAAGTCTTACCCAGGTGGCACTTCGGGGTAGGAAAGGCCGGATTTCTGTCCTGGATGGGTATTACTGCTCTGTTTTCTCTTCTGTAAACCATGTTCCTCGCAGCTTTAATGCTGTGAGTACACACAACCGCTGTCTCCTCTGTGTGTCCCTCTGCCCACTCTTCTGGTTCTCTCCCTCCCTTCGCTGTGCCACCCTCTCTGTGGGAAGAGGCAGCGGACCCAGGTTGTCAGGGCATTCACTCCTCCTCCGGTTGCAGTTTGGCCTGGCCTGGCCTCCACCTGGGACTGCCCACTCAGCAGCTCTGTCTTGGGCCTCACCTTGCCTGAGCCCAGTGGGGCACTTTAGCAATGCCATCTCCCTCCGCGAAAGCCTCGCTGCTCTCCCGGCTGCTCCTCAGCATCCTTCCCACACTCACACTCATTCAGCCTTGGCAGTGGCCCTTTCCCCTGAGTTCCGCCCCTCCCTCTACTTCTCACTGTGCATGGGGCCCCTAACCACCTTCACCCCAAGATACTGTGGGGGCAGAGGTGTGCGAACGCCTGGAGAGAGGCCTCCACATACTGCAAGAGGTCCGTACCCCGTGCCTCTCCTCGACTCCAGCCACCACCCCCTGCTGATCGTGTCTGATCCCTTCAGCCTGGAGCACCAACTGCCTCCGCAGCCCAATGCCACAGTCACTCGAGCTCACTGCTGCATAGCTGGATGTCTTCCTGTCCTCAGCCTGTCCCATCTGTGTACCGGATGTTTGAGAAGGGAGCCTCTGCCAGTCACCTTGCCAGATCCTTAGTCGTTCTAGGTCCTGTTCCTTGTCCCGTTGCTCATGTCCTCGCTTGTAAGGCCCTAGGCAGCAAGGTGACACGGTCCTTGCTGTCTTGGAATTGTGCCAGCAAAACCTGGCTGCCCATCTGCTTGTCTCCCCTTCCTCCCTCTTCTTGAGATCTGGACTTTGAATGAAACTGGGACCCTGAGAACTTTGTAAAGGAGGAATTTATGCTTTTACTTCGCTGATAAGTAGTTCGCCCTGAACCTTCAAAGTGCCATGGCAACAGAAAGTGTTCTATAAACAGCTCTGTACCAGACATAACTGGCTTAATCAGTATAATATGTTATTTATATCGACTCATAAACAGAACCTGAAATAAACTAGGGTTTTTTTTCTCAGACCAGCAGCTTGGAAAAACCCTCCTGATCCCATAAACGTGTTTACTCATTAATTCTCTTCTGTCTCCCCTCGGGTACCAGTCTCCTAAACTTGCTGAACTGCGTATCCCTTGCTTATGTTTTTATACCACAAACAGGCTTTAAGGTGCTCCTCCTGCACCCTCCACCCCACAGGCTTTGCATTTAATCAAAAGCAAAGTGATAGCATCACTTCCTGCTTGCAGACCCCAGCAGATCCCATTTGCACTGAGGGAGGAATCCACACTTCTCAGTAGATGCTTCCAGTCCCTTTTGGAAAGAAATGAGGTATAAAAAGAATGAGCTGGAGTGTTGTGGATAGAGGGGAGCTAGGTAAGGAAATGGGAATCATGAGGATAAGGACCTCCCTTTCTTGGATGGGGTAGAGGGAGGCTGTGTAGCATGATTTTAGCCTCCCAAAAGCTCCCTGGTGGGGAGCCCTTTAAATATCCCTGCCAGTGGGGACTGGAGGAGCTAACAGACCAGGCTCTGGGCCTGGTTTCCTTGGAGAGGGGGATAAAAAGTGGTGCTGATTACGCAAACTCAAAGGTTCTGTGAACAGCTGCAACCACCCAGTGCTAACTACCACAGGGAGCGTGGTGCCCTGGTGCTTTGCGGGCCTGGTAGCCGCCTGAGGCTGGGCCTGGCCAAAGTCTGCAGGGTTGGGAAGCTGCACTTGGAGCAGAGGTCTGTTCTCATTTTCCTCTCTGCTTAGACCTTGACCCCTTTGGACAGCATCACCACCGTCCCTCCCGCAGGCTGCCCCCCAGCACCTGGGCTCATGCTGTCCCAGCCACTGGTGATTTGACATGCCCCTCTCCCCCTTTCTCAGCCACCGAGGTGCCACCCTGCTCCTCCCTCCAAGACAACCTCCTTGACTAGCCAGCCTCCCCCAACTTGCCCTTTTGGGAAATCATGTCATATTTGTAGTTGGCACTGTGCTGTCTGGCACATCATGATCAATGCAGCCTGTTGACCTCTGAGCAGCTGCGGCCAGAGCAAAGGAGCTGGTTTTGGCAGGCCAGGGTGGAGTGGGGAGAGCAGTGGTGTGGGAATGGGCTGTGCTGCCACTTACCTGGTCTTGCCTGTCCCTTCCGTCCCTTGACCTCAGTTTCCTGTCTAGGACTAAAGGCTTACCCCATAGGGCTTATAGCTGCAGCCAGAGGGCACAAGTTGGTCCCTGTCATCTGGAAATCATTTCGAATTATTTGTTAATATAACAAAAAATTGAGATAGCATTTTTGAGTGAATAAAAAAGTTCGGTGAGCTGTCATTTATGTTTGTATATGCATTGACTATCGCAGGATGGTTACCTATTGTCGACTCAAAAACAAATTTAACTTTTTAAAAAAGAAACACCTCAAAATTAGTATGAAGGATGGATCATGAATGGTATTGAAAAAATAAAGTAATGAGATTTTGTCCTAAGTCTATGTTGGACAAATGGAAAGAACTGGCAATGTTGGGACTGAATCTGTCCAGCATGGCCCTAACCAGCCGAGGAGAATCAGGCCACTCCTCTCAGGCTGGGACCTGTGCCCTGCCCCCGGCATGTGGGCTTTTGTGGCCTGTGCCTTAGACTTTGGCCTTCAGGTCTGTCCTGGCCGTGGAGACTATTGGATCTGGTGGTAAATCTGGCCAGGCTTTGTGCCATCACCTGCTGCACAGGACACAAGACATGCTCGGGAGAGGCCTGCCTGATCGTGTCATTGTCTCTCCCTAGGGACCTGCTTGCCGTTGAGTGGGGTATTGGACACAGGCCTCCTGGAGCTGGCCTGGAGAGAGTTGGGGCGCCTTTTTGGGGGAGAGCAGCCAACTGACCCCCAGTGGCACCCACATCCTTGTGACAGCACTGCCAAGGCCCAGACCTGACTTCTGTCTCATGGAGCCTGCAGGTGAAAAGCCCGGAGAGGCTGATGGGCCACGCATCACACCCCAGCTGCTGAAGTCATGCACAGGCGAGTTTGCCCTAGAGTCCATCCTGCTGCTGAAGCTGCGAGGCTTGGGGCTGGCGGACCTGGGCTGTCTGGGGGAGTGCTTGGGCCTTGAGTGGCTGGACCTGTCGGGCAACGCACTCACCCACCTGGGCCCGCTGGCCTCCTTGCGCCAGCTGGCTGTGCTCAACGTCTCCAACAACCGGCTGACTGGGCTGGAGCCGCTGGCTGCCTGTGAGAACCTGCAGAGTCTCAGTGCTGCAGGCAACCTGCTGGCCTCTCCTGGCCAGCTGCAGTGTCTGGCTGGGTTGCGGTGCCTCGAGTACCTGCGGCTCCGGGACCCTTTGGCCCGGCTCAGCAACCCACTGTGTGCTAGCCCTTCCTACTGGGCGGTGGTCCAAGAGCTGCTGCCCGGCCTGAAAGTCATCGACGGGGAGCGTGTATCTGGGCGTGGCAGTGAGCTCTACCAGCTGTGCCGAGACCTGGACAGCTCACTGCGCCCCAGCTCCAGCTCAGGCCCCAGAGCCACTGAGGCCCAGCCCTGGGTGGAGCAAGGGTACTGGGAGTCCTGGCCGACCCGGAGCAGCTCCATCCTGGAGGAGGCCTGCCGGCAGTTCCAGGACACACTGCAGGAGTGCCACGATCTGGACCGCCAGGCCCGTGACAGCTTGGCCCAGGCTGAGCAGGCGCTCAGCCCCGCAGGAACTACATCTTCCTTTGTCTTTTGAGTGTGCCCCATGGCCCAGGACAGCCTGGCAGGTGATCTGGCTGCTCACATCTCCCTCCCTGCCTCTGCACTTGTCTTCCCGGTTTCCTCATGGCAGTCACTGGCCCTGCAAACTGGGCTATTCATTTATCCCTGTCCTGACAGCAGCCCCTCACTCTCACCCTCCCCTTCCCGCTTCAGGAACATTTCCCCACCCTCCCTGCACATACTGCAGGGACGCCCCTCCTGAGTGCCTCTAGCAGGTGGGAAGCTCTCCACGGGCAGCTGGCACACACTGTGCAGCGGGGAAAGGGCCTTGCGGAGCCTCCGTCCACAGCCGCTGCCGATCCTGCCTGCTCCAGCTGAGACTTAATGGGAAGAGTTCCTTCCTCCTAAGGCCACAAGTGGAAAAGGTAGGGATAGGCGTGCCTCCAGCCCCACTCCTGTCACGCTCCTAGGAGTGTGCGGACAGAGTAGAGCGTTCCAGAACATTCCTGGAAGTTGGAGCTCACCCGCCTTCCATACCTGCCTATCCAGATGACTGCCTACTGTGGCTCGGTCCTGTGCCTCCCTGGAGCCTTCTATGCCTGTTCCCACCCACTAATCCCTATTAAACAGCTCTGTTTTAACTGGTGTCACTGCCTGTCATTTTACGTCTTCAGGCTCCTCTGCTTTCTGGTCTGTCCTGCTCAGGAGGCTCCACTCGCTGTTTCTTGGAGGTGTGACAGGAAGGGTCCTGCATACCAGGACCTCTCATTCAGATGGCCTGCCGTGGGCTGGATGGAGAAAGGGGACAACGCAAGGAGCGGAGAGAACACAACTTGGGGAGCAGTTTTATTAACTCAGGATAGAAAGGGTTCATCTCCCTGGGAGGGCAGGCTCTTCCACTGGTTACCACCCGCAGCTGTTCAGGAAGCTGGATGCAATTCTAGAGAAAAGGGAAAAACTGAGATTTGTGTGAGGAAGGCCATTTTGGTCCAAGTCCCAGTTTCTCCCCAGGCTCCTACCCCATCCCCTCCCTTCCTCCCACAGCCCAATCTCATGCCAAGGGCCGTCCCTTCCCCTGGCCGCCTACCAGTCCAGGGCTCAGTTGGGGGGCTGGGCCTTGAAGAAGGCAAATTGTCCGGGTAAATAGTAGCTCTGGGGGTCCTCGCCAGCTCGCTCCACCCTGCTGCACTGGGTCTCCTGGTGCTCCTTGGGTTCCTGCCAGTGCCAGCAACTATTCAGGCAGTGCCTGGAGAGGGCGGGCAGTGCCCCACCTCTACATCCCCCAGGGAATGTCTGGACCAGGCCCAGAGACCCTCCTGCCCCCGCCCCCTTCCCCTCCATCCAGGCTCTGCCTCTCTCCCTCTCCCACAGGCCCAGCTTCTATCTGTCTTTCCAGCCCCCCTCTGCTTCTTTGCCCGTCTTACCCGTGGAGCCTGAGTCTGTATGGGGCAGTAGACCATCCGGCCCAGAACTTTATCCTGGGGGTCCAGTTTGATGCAGGCCAGGCATTTCCTCTTCCTCTGGGAGGGGAGCATGGGGTGAGGGAAAGGGGTGAGGAGGGCGTGCGGCACCACCAGGGTGGGAGCTGGGGGTGCCCACAATGGGATTAGCTCCCCCGGCAGGCCCTAGAGCAGGGGGCAAGGGGCCATGCGGGCCAGCTGGTTTCAGGCACAGCCCACCTGAGGACTGGGAAATTTCAGAACTCAAACAATCCTGTAGTTTCTTTTTTTTTTTTTTTTTAAAAAGATGACCGGTAAGGGGATCTCAATCCTTGGCTTGGTGTTGTCAGCACCACGCTCAGCCAGTGAGCAAACCGGCCATCCCTATATAGGATCCGAACCCATGGCCTTGGTGTTATTAGCACCGCACTCTACCGAGTGAGCCACGGGCCGGCCCCAATCCTGTAGTTTCTAACTATGGGACTTTAGCGTGTGTGTAGGCAGGAATCCTTCCCAAGCAGGGTGTATGTGGCACGTGTGTGCACAAGCATGTGCATGGCTGTGTGTGCGCACACGTGTGCACGGGGTGTAGTGTATGTGCCAGGGTGCAAATGTGGCGTGTGTGTATATGTGTGTGCAGATGTGAAGGCAAGAACCTCTCTAGCTGGGTTCTCCCCACCTGACTCCACCAGAGCCACTCCACTGTCATCTATTCTATTCATTTACATGTTCTTGTAAGATTTGATTTGAACCAAAGGGTCCCGGAACCAAGAGGTTTGAAAATCACTGATAGAATCCAGTTCCCTTCTTTGCACATGGAGGGAACTGAGGCCTTCACAGAACCCACAAAGCCCAGGGCTGGTGCTTGTAGAGCAGGAACCAGAACCCAGGTTGCTACACTCCCAGCCCAGGGATCACCCCCAGAGCCATGAGTTCACCCCCAAGGTAGCTGATTACAGTGGAGGCCTGCTATGAATCAGCCCAGGCCGGGCCATCTTCACTCAATGGCCGAGAGTGGGTACCAGACAAACCTCATACCATGGGCTTCTTCCACCAGTGACCTGAAGCCTGAGAGTGGAACTCAGACAGGTGAACCTGCTCTGGGATGATGAGTCCTGGAGGTAACTCAAGCCTCACTCTCCTCACCTTCCAGGCCCCCGGCCCCACCCACTGCCCTCAGGACCATGGGTTCAGACTGAGCCAGTTCCGCTTCCTGGGAGGCTCCTCATTGTGGGTTCTCCAATCTTAGGGCTTCCCACCGGATTTCCCAATTCCATGCACTCACCCCCAACACGTGCCCCACCACACACACACACACACACACACACACACACACACACACACACACACACCCCTTCACTCACCCCGTTGGGCTTAACCTTGCACTCAGGTTTCTTCCAGTCCTTCTTCTGGCAGCTCGTCTGCTGGAGCTTAAATTCCAGTCTCACAAAGGTCCCGGCTGGGAAGAGCTGCAGACAGACCAACAGACAGAGGAGGGCCAGCAGCCAGCTGAGCGGCAAAGCAATCCCTGGGTGTGACCGTCTCCCCCCCCCCCCCCAGTGAAACCTCACAGCCAAGGAGATGGCTGGGGTGGCGGCGGCCTCTCTCCAGAGAGCTGGGCGCTCACAGAGCCCGACTTCTCTGCCACTTCCCGGGAGCATGCTGGTTTCCCCACGTGCAGCCCTCTTCCCTGCCGCCAGGCCATGCCACTAACCGTGTCCAGCGCACTGTCCACGCTGGTTTCCCGGAAGGCCCACTGCACAGGCGGGTGCTTGTGGAATTCCTCCAGGGCCACCTGCAGACCCCGGCGCTGGACCCTCGTGAGCTCGGCACTGCCCAAGCCTACCGCAGCCAGCCACAGGGCCAGCGGGATCAGCAGCTGCCTCATGGCTTCCCCTCGGTCACCCTGGCCTGCAAAACGTGTGTGTGTGTGTCGGGTCCTCAGCGATTCGTGCCAGCGGGGGGCCGCCACCTCCCCTGCCCTGCCCCTCGGGGGCCATGCCTGGAAGAACTCTGGGCAGAGACGGAGGAAGGCAGAACTGGCCCTTTCCCGAAATCGCCCTTGGTGTCCTCCTGGTCCTTTCCGCCCCCTCCCCCTGACCCGCACTGTTCCCTGGGGCCAGCAAAATTTCAGCAAAGTTCCCTGCCGATGGCCCGGGAAGCAGTCCTGCCGCCCACTCCTACCCTTCGTCCCTCTGCTGGCCGATTCACTGTCCCCACGGTCTCTGACCCCCGTCCTCCCCGCTGTCCCTAGAGTTCCCCTCCGCTGCCCCCACCTCCGGCTTCTCCTCCCTGACCGCTTCTCCCTCCCCAGTCCCCCATCTCGGGCTCGCACGACGCCCCCGCTGCCGCCCCAGCGAACCGTGGGGGAGGGGCAGGGGCTGGGGCTTGGAGAGGAGCGGGCTGGAGGCTGAATATTTGGGGGAGGACGTAAACAACGTGGGCGGGACCCAGAGCGGGTGGGAGCAGGATGCTTAACCCTCCCGGCACGGGGTCTGCCGTTGCCGTCACCCCCACCCTGTCCCCAGCAATGGGGGTCTCTCCGCGGCCCAGCCCTGGCTTTCCCGCTTCAGGCAGATCCTCCCTCCCTTGCCTTTTTTTCTGGGGCTTTCTCCACTTCCCTTGTCCCAGCCCTTCTGGTCCCATCCCCCCGTCCATCACTGGGGTCGCCTGAGGGGTGACCCTCCCAGAGAACCTCGCCTGTACTGGTGGTTCCCAGTGGAAAGACACCAGGGTGTTGCCTTAAAGCAAGGGTTTTACAAGTCTCGCCTCGGAGCTGCTGCCGTCGCCCGCCCTCTCCTGCCGTCCATGCAGACGCTTCCCTCTGGCCCGCTGTCCCCTGCTCACCTCCTTCCCTCTGCCTCGGGGTCTCGCCTCACCTTCCCGCAGCACGAGCCTTGCCCTGGGCCGTCAGCCTCTCCCCGTCTCCTCCCGCCCTCCCGCGGGGCGGCCCCCATCTCCCCCCACTTCCCCTCCTGGGTCCCCTCCAGCAGCGCTGGCTCCTCCCCACCCCATCAGGCTCCCGGGCCGGATGCCCTCCCCGCGCCGCCCTCCCCTCCCCCGTTCCCCACCGCCCTCCCCCACGGCCCAGCCTCCGTGACCCTGACCCTGGCTGGGGCGGGCGGCTCGTCTTAGCGACTTGAGGCCGAGCAGCCCTCGGTCCCATCTCCCCCTGGCTAAGGAGCATCTTCCCGGGGAGCGGTGGATTCTGTGCCCACCTCCTGCCCAGGTAGGGCTGCCCTTTCTTAGGTCCTTCCTGGGTGACCAACCAGTCCCTGCGTTCCTGAGACCCTCATTTTAGGAAATTCTGCCCAGAAATACAGACATCCTCAAACCTAATGAGACCTTGAGGAGTCATTGGTCCCTCCCGGTGCCTCCCATACCCTAGAGCCCCACTGACCCGTCCTCCTGCGCCATCCCTGGTGGTGACAGACTCACGGGTCTCATGGAGGGGTGTGGGGAGACTTCAGGCGGGGCAGAGTGGCATGGTGGTGTTCATAAGGCGAGTGGAGAGTAGGGAAAACAGTGTCCAGATGTTGGCTCAACTCCTGGTACCCTTGAGCAAATGTTTACCTGCTCTGGGACTTCGCATGTCCGTAACAATCCTACCATTTATGAGTCCCCAGCCCTACCCTCATTACCCAAAATAGAGAATCGCGTTTAGCTTCCTGAATCTCTCTTAACTTCTGCTTCTTTATCTGTAAGGTGAGGATCATAAAGTCCATCTTAAGGGGTTGTTTTGAGGATTAAGTGAAGAAACGTGGAAAATGACTGATGCCCAGTGTTGGGCACGAGGTTCTTGTCCCCTCTGTATTCACCCCCTGCCATGATTCTCTACACAGAGCTGAGAGCTTCCTTTGCAATGTGCTCTGCGGGCACCAGAAGGACCCTTGGCTTCAATTAACCGATTCCGGGTGCCTGAAATGTCACCTCTGGAGGTTCACTCCCCAGCTGTGAGTTACTCAGCTATCATTAAGCAGGAATAAGAGGGGGGATCTTTGTTCTCCAAGAGCTTCAGGTGGGGTTAGAGAAATAAGATGCTCACGTACAGAAGATGTTTCCCCGCTCAAGGCCCCATGCTGGGGGATGTCCTGGGGATGGGTGACCAGAGAAAACTTCCAGGACAAGGGGGAACTTGAGGTAAGCACAGCAGGGCACTCATCCTGCCTTTGGTGGGGGTTGGGGGGAAGTTTTCATCAGGCCTGGGGTGAGAGAGGGAGGCTGGGAGCAGGGTGGTGGAAGTTGGTGAGGGAGAGCCAGTCTGGCCACACAAAATTTGCTTTGGGTGTACGCAATGAGGTGGCCACCTCAAAGAGGTGGCAGTTCTACTGCAGAGCAGTCTCAGGTGTGGATTTGTGAAAGGGCTTCTTAAGGCACATTCATGAGCTCAGCGCCAGGTAACATGTCCCAATCCAGGGGAGCAGCAACAAAACTTACCTGTTTAATGGTGGTGAATGATTTTCCTCGGCATCACAGATTAAAAGGCAGACTCACATATACAAGTTGTTCCAAACTTGATTTTCCAATAAGTGAACTGAATACCAAAAAACATTTTCCTTTAATATTTGCAGCTTCATTGACAAACTAGTTTATCCTTTTTGGAAAAAGTGATTTGACTTTGAAGCAAAAGCATATCAGTTTCAAAACTACAGCTGTCCACATTCAATTTGCTAACTCTTGTGTCAGTTCGGTATAATTAACATAAATTCAAAATGATACTGCATAAATTCAAAAGCAGCTCTAAATTTATCAGTATCAACAAAGTATTCCCTAAATTTTTTTTGTAATTGTTGTAGCCAATTTAAGCAATGCTGACTACTTTAATTAAGGACTCTGCATATTTATTCATGTGAGAAAAGTATGTAAAAGCATAATTATTGATCACTATTATATAAAGATTTAATTAGAAATTCTTATATTTGTCTGGCTAGGTCACAAATGAACTTTCCTTTACTTGGAGCTTCAAATTTAGCTTGGTTATATGTAATGTGATATTGGTTAGAAAACTGCTACTTACATTTTTTATCTTTGATTATTGCATATTTGGTAAGCGTTCCTTTCGTTTCAAGAAAATCTTGGAGTTGAGTACAGTAAAGGTTAGAAGAACTCTTCCACAATCTGACTAATGAGCTTTGGCAAAGAAAAGATCATCGAATTTATTGTCTTCTATTTCTTTCAGTGGTTCCATTAACCAGCAATGATTCATAGCATTTGCACTTAAATACTGAATGATTTTAACAGCTGTGTCTGTGACACTTGTATAGTCTATTTCAGAAAACTGAGCACAACTCTCTTCTGTATGTACCATATAGTAAAATAGAGCAACACGGGAAGCATCCGTCTCTTGTTTTAAGATTCCAGTCATGCTAGCTACATATCAAGTGTCCCTAAGCCACAGGTTGCTGGTGCTTCCCATACTGGATAGTGCAGGTACACGTTGTGTTACCAATCGTGTGAGTAAAAACTACAAATAAAAATGAACGATGCGTATCTATATATGTTTGTAAATGCAGGGAATATTTCTGGAAGGAAAAACAAGAAACTTGTAACAGTAGTTGCCTGTGAGGAGAGGAACTGTCCAGCTCAGGAAACGGGAGGGAGGGAAACCATATGCCCTTTATACTCTTAACTTGTGGATAATTTCATAACTTGTGGATAATTTGTCTATTAAAATACAAAAAATTATTATTATTATTATTTTTGAAAAGATGACTGGTAAGGGGATCTTAACCCTTGACTTGGTGTTGTCAGCACCACACTCTCCCAAGTGAGCCACGGGCCGGCCCAAAATACAAAAAATTATTATTATTATTATTTTTGAAAAGATGACTGGTAAGGGGATCTTAACCCTTGACTTGGTGTTGTCAGCACCACACTCTCCCAAGTGAGCCACGGGCCGGCCCAAAATACAAAAAATTATTTAAAAAACCTTTTAAAATCACAAAACAAATAAAATTTCTAATATATTTCATTAACTTGATTATTTAAAAAGGTATTAATAATAAAACTAGAAACTACTAGAAGTTCCTACCACTTGGCAATACAAAAAGCAAAATGCCTCTTTCAAATAATTCTTGGATCAAAGACATAATAAAACAAATTGCAGAATTCCTAAAGATAACAGTAATGAAACCATTGTACACTGAAATCGGTGAGCTTTATCTTGAGAAGTGCAAATTAGGTACTCTTGTTTTTACTAAGAAAAAGAAAAAATGAAAATAAGTGAATTAAGCATTAACTCAAGAAACTAGAAAATAACCAACTAAACTTACGGAAAGGAAAAGGAAGGAACAAATAAAAATTAAAAAAGTGAATTAGGAAAGAGAAAATTGAGGAAATCCATTAAGACACCATATTCATCAGTCAAGGATAAAAAATCCATGCGGAAAGAATATTTGAGAAAGTTCAATCCCCTCTTCTAGTTAAAAAAATAAGAACTCTTGGGGCCCGCCCGGTGGCGCACTGCTATAGTGCGCCGCTTGGGAAGCATGGCGGCGCTCCCGCCGAGGGTTCGGATCCCACATACAGACCGGTTCCCGCTCACTGGCTGAGCGAGGCGCGGGAGCAGCGCCGAGGGTTGCGATCCTGTTGCTGGTCCTGGTCCGGTACGGGGGCAACACTGAGGGTTGCGATCCGTTGCCGGACACGGAAAAAGAGAAAAAAAAAGGAAAAAATAAATAAATAAGAACTCTTGATAAGATAGGAAATTATGGGTACCTTCTTAATAGAGATAAATAAACATACTTGATGAAAAATAAGAACCATTGTTATCAAATTCAGGAGCAAGAAGAGGATGTTTTCTATCAGTACTGTTATTCTACAGTTTTCTAGAAACACCAGCCAATGTAAACTGGGCATGCAAAGTCAATGATAAAAAAATTTGAAAGGTAGGGGGCCGGCCCGGTGGCGCACTGGATAGTGCGCCGCTTGGGAAGCGCGGCGGCGCTCCCGTCCGAGGGTTCGGATCCCATGTACAGACCGGCTCCCGCTCACTGGCTGAGCGAGGCGCGGGAGCAACGCTGAGGCTTGCGATCCCGTTGCCGGTCCCGGTCCGGTACGGGGGCAACACTGAGGGTTGCGATCCATTGCTGGACACGGAAAAAAGACAAAAAGACAAAGAAAAAAAAAAAATTTGAAAGGTAGAGTGAACAGTGTCATTATTTGCAAATGATAGGATTGTGTGCCTTCCAAATCCAAGAGAATTAACAGAAATAAATCATTGGAAACAATAAGATAATTTAATAAGTGATAAGATATGGAATCAGCCTACAAAATCAATAGGTTTCCTATACACAAAAAAATCAGAAAACATAATTTTTAAAAATCTAATTTACAGCAACAAAAAAGGTTAAATTCCTAGGAATGAACTTAATTTAAAAAACATGAAGAGTATCAAAAAAATTTAAATGTTACTGAGGGATGTGAAAGAAATCATGAATAAATAGATAGGGAGAATCAATATTATAAAGATGTAAATTATCCCTAAATTGACATTTAAATTTAACAGGAAAATACAAATTGATTCATACACTAATATGGAAAAATAGACAGGCAAAAATAACCAGAAATATTATGAAAATAAGAGTAATGTTGGCCTCTTAGATGCCCAGATGGTCTATGAGATATTCAAATGTATTAAAAATCTAAAATAATTAAAACAGTGATATTAGAAAATGAACACACAAATCAATAGAATGGAATAGGAACTTTAGATATAGATCCAATACATATGATAATTTAATATATGATGTAAGTGGCATTACGAATTTGTAGGAAATAGATATATTATCCAAAAAATGGTGTTGAAGTATATGGCTAGGTTTGGGGGGGGGATAAAGAGTAAAGGAATATTGTTTTCCTACACTATAGTAAATCCCAGATGAATGAAATAATTAAGTGTACTAGATGATAACATTAGGATCTGTTTGTTTGCTTAATAACTTCTT